CAAATCTGGGAGGGCGGGGGAGATCCCGAGCAGCCGTTTCGCGCGCCGCTGCTCCCCCTCCCTCTCAGACTTGAGAGCCTGGGGGAAGGGGCGGAGTTGGGGCGGGGCGGCCAAAATTGTTTTTGCCTTGGGCGGCAAAAATTCTAGAGCCGGCCCTGGGTGTAATACGCTCACTATTCATCAGAAAACTTTTCACTTAACACAAGTATCAGAGGGGTAGCCGTGTTAGTCTGTATCCACAAAAACAACACAGCTTCCACCCACTTTAACCCTCTGGGAGGCAGGCAGGGGCAGAGTAAAGGGTCTTTGTTCTGAGCACTTCACTGTGCAAGCTGGGGTGAATACCCTCTTAGTCCCTAAATAAATCAATCAGGAACACAGTAATATTCATAACGCGAGGTGGGGTGGGAGATTGGGGATGTCTCAGGCCCAGAGCAGCCCCCCAGGGGAGGCTGTGAACGCCCATCCCCGTGGCCGGGAGGCTGCCCGCTAGAGGCAGGGCTGCACACCGGGGAACCACGCGGCGACAGCGACCCTGGGAAGCGCCTCTGGCCCCTGCAGCGGCTGTCCCCCCGCACCGTATCCCCACGTGGGGCCCCGCGGGGGCCCTCCCAGCCGCCACTCACCGTCCCCCTCGGCTCTCTCGCCCCGCGGGCTTGCCGCTGTAGCTGCCCGAGCCCCGCCTGACACGCCGCGAGCGGAGGCCGCCGGCCGGGACCGAGGCGCTGGGTGCCGAGCAGCAGAGCCGGAGCCGGGCAGGGGGCGGCCCTGGTCTCCGCCCCGCCCCGGGGTCCCCCCGCGCCCCCGCCCGGGGCTGAGGCGGCCGCCCTGAGCTCAGGCTCCTGCGCGGGCGACCGGGCGAAGGGGCCTTTGCGGGAGGACCCGACTGTGCCAGCAACATGGCAGCGTCCAGCCGGGCCCAGGTGCTGAGGCTGTACCGGGCCCTGCTGCGGGAGAGCCAGGGCTTCACCGCCTACGGCTACAGGTGGGCCCCGGCCGGGGGAGATAGGTGCCCGGGAACCTGCTGGGGGGTGGGGGAGGCCGGGGTCCCCCCAGGTCCCTGCGTTTTGGAGAGGCGGGAGGGGGGGCCCTAGGCCAGGTTCTGTCTCACCCCCCCCCCCC